GTCGTGTCCTTACGCCTCTCCAGTGCACTGCCCCCTTGCTGGCTGCTGGTTTCCAGTTGTACAACTGATACAGAAGAATGCGTTTTGGCACAATTGGAGATCCTGACTCCATACAGGCCTCTGGATTGAACTTACTTCAGCTACCATGCCAGCTGTACTATCATATTCTGTAATAATGCTGCTAGACTTTCCATAACTGTGGTGTCTCGGCAGGGAACGGTATAGTTGTGGCGTCTGACACAATCCTGTCAGGCACCAAACAAAACAAACAAGCCAACATATACTCTGCAACCTCCAGACTACTGGTGTCTTTCTTTCCAGGCATTTCCTCAGAGTGGAAAGGGTATGGGGGGAAAACAAAGAAGCCGGAAAACTGGATATCATAGAATATCATATCACAACCCAGCGCAGCGAAGAGGCAAGGCCAGTCTGACAACTGCAGCACTGCACAAAGTTAACAGCTTGGATTCTCAGGCCAGTCCTGAACTGTCCAAATCATCTGTTCTTCAGTCCCCATTGTAGAAAGCCAGAACACTGATACATAATACAAGCCGAACTGCAGAAAAGGTGGAATATGCAATTTCTAATAAATATCAACTAGAATTATTCATCAGTTATTAACACCTTAAAACAAACATTTATTACTTACAGAATCTGTATCCCACCTTTGTGCCCAATCAACTAGGGCCACCAAAGCAGCTAATAATGCTCTCATTTTCCTTCAATTAGGTCCCCCCCCCCGAGTCGCTCCACAGGAACAATGCCATCTAATTATTTTTCAGTTGCTAAATGCTCTCCAGCATTCAGTGGTTTCTTATATTATTAGAAGCTTTCAGTTCTAGCCCTCCCACTACAAAGACTACAAAAAGCAAGATCAGTATGACAATAAAAACATGCAAAGAGACTTTAAAAAAAAGAAAGACACCATCGACACCCACACATTTTCTACTGCCTTTCAATCCATTTCACAGAGAAAATATATTCAACAAGGGGAAAGTATCACTACTTAGAACAAGCTGCTCTTGGAAGAAATATTAATATCAGAATTATTTCTAAACATTGTAAAATGTTACACTAGAATAATCATAGTTTACTGAGTCTGTTGAACGTCACTGAAAATTTCTTCAAAAAAATCTGAGCTCTTGATCTTGTTGGCGACTCAATATGAGAAAATTTATACTAGGTGTCAAAGAGCCCCTCTGCCTGCCCAAACCGGGAGAGTTCTCTTCGCCAAGAGACTGGCTAGCTACAGTTACAAAGAGGTTAAAGGCACCTGTTTTACCTCTGACCAGGTAGTGCTACCACCAATCCTTTTGCGTCCCTCCAGTCCAGAGCCAAAGGATAGACTCTAGACCTTACCGGGCTCAGCTAGAGAAGACTCCCTGCGAGGTTGGCTCACAGCAGGAGACCCACAGGTTATTCTAGAGGTAGTAACTGACAGTCTCAGGCACCAGATAGCTCATTGCAGCAGTGGAGATAGAAACCAGAACTGGTGAATAAAATATATATTTAAGTGCAGAATATATTAATAAAAAGTGCAAATTACTTAAAATAATATTGTGGGGAATAAAATAAGAAACCTAAATATTAACACATTGGCTAAACACTTATACAACCTTGGTTCTCAAAGTCAACTTGTTACCCATTCAGTTCTGGGTCCAAGAGTACTCTGTCTCCAGAGTCCAAAAGCCAGGCTGGTTGGCTTCAGCAATCAGAGCTTCCAAGATGGCCGAAAGGTGAGCAAGGCAAAGTTACATGTCAGCTTCACATGCAACACCATCATGCCCCCCGAACATGAGTTAAGGTGGGCACCAATCAGGGTTCAAGCAATGTCTTCCAGATACAAGCAGGCCAATCAACGAAACGGTGATATCATTGTTTCAAGATAGTTGTGAGACCTTACATCAAATATTTAGATATCAGCAATCATAGAAGAATTTTTACCCTATTAAGATACAACGCCTTACCCTCAGCCATAATGGAGGCCAGATTTACTAGATCATTGAGGAAAAGTTGTATATGTGGGATGGGATCTGATGAAACATTGGAACATGTAATTTTCGATTGTCTTATATATCATAATATCAGGGAAGTTCTGATCAAGCCTATAGTTAACTCCTTTCCAGGTCGTAATAGAAGGATACTTTTGTCAATTATGCTGGCAGGAGATAATCAAAAGTTGACTAGGATGGTTGCCAAATTTGGTTGGTTGGCATACCAAACTAGGCAAGAGATAAAGGACAGATTCTGATTCTATTATTTCTGTATTTTAAAGTTTTTAGATCCTATTTATAATTTTAGATGCCGATATATTTTATAATTTTACTGCTCCTGTAACTGTATTTACTTGTCTTCTATTATACTGGTCTATGACCGTAATAAACTTGAACATACGATATCATTGTTTTCTGACTGGTCTCTGGTCATGTCAGAAGAGTAGGTGATGTGATCTGCAGTTTCACACCACCAGGCCTTCCCACAGGCAGGACTTAATTGCTTTGGAATGTTAACGAGCCAAGGCTACAGGAGAACATCTTATCTTGTAAGTGCAGAGATAGACACTCTTCTCCAGCACAACTGTGTGAACTAAGGAGACTTCAATAAACATTTTTAACAAGAGCAGGTCGCAGCCAGACTGAACCAAACTTTTAAAGCAGACTTCATTTTGAGTGAACCAAAGTTCTTACTAGGCCACTTTGTTCTGGTATGGCAAGCAGAGAAGGGCCAGTTCTTGGGGCAGTACAATGAGGATACCAACACATCTCAATAGGGGCTCAATTCACTCCCTGACTGGCATCTTGTCTTGGACCTGCATGACTGTGGGACTGGTTCAAGCCGAGACCCTGAGGCAAAGCAGGCCCTGGAAGATAGGGAGTGCCTGGCTTAGGATGACAGAGTACCGTCAACTGACCCCAACAAGAAGATTTCATCCTCATGGAAAGACATGATTTGTTTAATTCTGCAATCAATTTATATTATTTCCCTTAAATCCCAAATTCTAGAATACTTAATTGATGTATGGCCTTTGAGTTAGTAAAGATGGATAGCGAGATTAGCAGCCACAGAGGAAAAGCTAATTCACACCCTCAATTTATTTCCGGTTGAACTGTATGGCTTTGTAACCAAAAGGCAGAAAGTCCACCAAAAAACAAAAAAGATATACCCAAGGAGGGGGAGGTTGTGTGGGTGTACTGGTTGGTGTATTAGTTGATTTTATTACTCTCTGTGAACTGCATTGCACCACTTGGATGCAAGTCTTTTATCATTTAGGTATAAGCCCTACACTGCATTTTGGAAAAGGTTTTCCGAAAAAGATGAGAGGGAATTCCAGACAAATTCTGTATAAATGCTACGACTAGTATAAATGTAATAGTTACAAATCATAGCAACCTACTTGATCATTTTGTTCCCATTCTCCTTGCTGCTTGAGAGAGGGAATCCCCCAGATGGTCAATTTTCCTGAGAAGTGAATTGCTGCTAAGCGAGTGCCGTCTGGAGAAAGGCTCATTTTGAAGACGCCATCCTGGCCAACGTTTCAATCGCCAATGAAAGTAAAAAACAAAGGATTTCAGAAAGCATGTCAACTTGCAACAGTTATAAGCAATCCATTGCAAGAACAATATTTTAAAGATCTTCCAAGTGTTATTAAATCTGAAATTATTCTTCACATTCGCATATCCTATTACAATATGGTATACTACGTTCCTTACACTAAAATGTTTCAATTGTGACAGTCATATGGCTGACAGTTAGTGTACTGTAGTGTAGAGAGCCAGTTTGGTGTAGTGGTTAAGTGCGCGGACTCTGATCTGGGAGAACTGGGTTTGAGTCCCCACTCCTCCACTTGCACCTGCTGATGTGACCTTGGGTCAGTCACAAGCTCTTTTACAACTGTCCTTGAAAAAGAGCAGTTTGTGTCAGAGTTCTCTCAGCCCCACCCACCTCACAGGGTGTCTGTTGTGGGGAGGGGAAGGGAAAGGAATTTGTAAGCCACTCTGAGACTCCAAGTGAAGGGCGGGGTATAAATCCAATCTCTTCTTCTTCTTCAATCTTTTTGGAACGTGGGGTGGCGTCTTCTGAGTAGTTATGTACATATGTCTCACTTCATGTTTTACACTACAATCTTCTCCATTAGAATTCCTACAATAAATGTTATATTTCAAACTTCACATCATCAGTATTATAACTGGATTTATGGAACTTAAATACCGCAGCAAAGCATGGGTATCAGGCTAATAAACTATAATGGAGCCAAAGGCATTTAAAGGTGTTGCGGTCTCTTTAAATGCATTTGTGAAGCTGCAGCTTCACCCAAAATGGCATTTAAAGCAACTGCAGTAGATTCATCCCGAGTTTTTTCAAGATTATCCAGGATTGGCTATGCTCAATAGCCGAAAATACACCCCCTCTGTATTCGGCTGAAAGAATAGCTGATAAATATTGATAAGTATTTTCTGGCTATTTTTCGGCTTGGTTAGAGCCCTAATATAAACTCACTGGAGTAATTCTACATGGGACTCATTTTTTAGTCTGGTTTCTGCTCCAAGGGATCTGAAAGACAGACAAGCTCCACAAGAACAATCTGACTGCCAATGGCAAGTACCCCTCCTCTGCTGAAGAGCACCCCTCCCCTGCACATTTCGAGAACTAAAGAGAATGTACGGTAGTGATCAGTCACTCCACATGGCTCTGAAGAAGCAACAAGACTCAGCCTTATTACCTCACCATGGCATGAACAGAAAGGAAAGGGAACACCTGGTCTTCAGTACACCTCTGTTGCCCAGCACCTACACCTTCTGTCTTGTACAGTCAGACGATGTAGCTGCTGGTCTTGTACAGACAGACACTTGGTCGATCTACAGCTCTTGCCATGAAATCCTGATGCATCATTGTGGCGCTCTGGCCCGCACGGCCGGGTCGTCGCCGCCGCCAGACGCCGTCTCCAACAACTGCCCTGCCTTGTCAGGGGAACGGAGGTCTCAGAATGGGAGCCGGGCCGCCTGGTTCCGTCACCGGCACAAGCCCCAGTGCTCCTTCCTGCACACGTCTTTGAGGGCCGTTTGTCGAGCCGTATCTCTCTCCGGCCTCGACTCTTCACGTGCCCCCGTCTCGACCTGGCAGACCTTCCTCCCCGACCTCCTTGCTCGTTCCCCTTTTATACCCTTCTCCCCCCGGTCCCTCAACCCATTGGACACCCAGGTGTCCATCACCACTAGCCCCGCCTCCGTATATAAGCTCAGACGCCCAGCCAGGGCGGGGCTCTCCAGTCCCGTCTAGCGCTGGGGCGCGGCTTGCCGTCCGGCTCATGCCGGGCGGCGCGGGAAGCATTGGGTTGCCAGGGTGCCCCGAAACGGGCGTCTCTGCCGCCGTCTGCGTCTCCTCAGGGCCGGCCCTCCGGCCGCGAGCCCGGGGACGCGCTCGGCAACCGAGGGGTTGTGCCACTGGTCGGCACCCCTCGCGGTCTTTCTCCCCCCCCTCGAGGACTGGCGTTGCCTGCCCATCCGGCTGCGGGCTTGCGGCAGACGCGGTGAGTGGGGTGTATGCGGCTCCAGTGTCGGGAAGGGGTTCTTGGAGGAGGCCCGGGGCGTCAGGACCGGGACAATCATGTACACTCTGCTGGTACCAAACAGTTCATAGATTATATTAACAAATGCTCTCCAACGCAGAAAAAGATTAAATGTGACCAGATCTCAGAGCAGAAGATTCATCACTTGATCTGACAAGCTGCATGAAGAGCAACAGAGGTAGAACTGAGCCAAGACAAGATGGAAAGGACAGCAGATGGAGGTCCTTCCACTATCCAAAAGGGCCAAACACTGATGACAACAATTTTTTTTAGCTGAGCAGGAGTATAGGTTTGGGAGGTCTGATTTATTTGCATTGCATACCATTACCCAACAAAGTATGTTTTGCCAGAACACAGGGTCTTAATAACCATAAGCCATAGTCTTGACATTCCAAGGACAGCTTACCACAAAATGATCTGTATCAAAGCTGCCTTGGACAAGTATAGCCTGTGTGAACAGTAACAACATGCATACATTCTCTCCATTACCTGCTCCGTTCCTTGTTTGTTGTAAAATTTGAAATTCATAATCTTGAACAAAGAACGTCTCTTGGCCTGATGGAAAACAAACAAATATCAAGTGTCCACACAGGTTTTAAACTGATCTTTGTCAAAAATATCTTTTTCACTCACGGCATCTGTTCTTACATCATGGATTGGATCCAATCCAGTGCTATTATGAATAAGTTTTGGGACTGACTGGGCTACAAAACCAGAGGTTTGGTTAAGACGCTGAACTGCAGGCTATGGAAGGGCGGTAGTTCAGCAGTTCGAGACCCGAGTGTGCCGCATGACGGAGTGAGCTCCCGTCTCTAGTTCCAGCTCCTGCCAACCTAGCAGTTCGAAAGCAAGAAATTGCAAGTAGATAAATAGGTACCACTTCGGTGGGAAGGTAACAGCGTTCCGTGCGCCTTGGTGTTTAGTCATGCCAGCCACATGACCACGGAAATGTCTTCGGACAGCGCTGGCTCTTAGGCTTTGAAACGGAGATGAGCACCACAACCCTAGAGTTGGATTCGACTGGCTTTCGAACAAGGGAACCTTTACCTTTACTTTAACCATAAAATATTTCCTAATGTCAGATAGATGGCTACATTTTCTCCTGCAGCAGTAAAGCAGTCAAAATCTCTGAACTGAAGGTCAAGATTAGAAGGTTCAAGTGATGCAACTGGCTGCTGGGCTATACCACTCCAATTGGGGGAACTGAACTTTTGTAATGCTAAATTCTGAGACTCTGGTTTTGTACATGAAGGGAGATCATTCAGATATTCAGTCACACATCTGCAGTCTCAAGTGGGCTCAGTAAAGCAGCATCACATGAACCTGCCAATCTGTCTCACATTACTGTCAGTATTAAAAACACTTAAGAGTACGCTCCCACTTCCACAGTATGAGGTTAGTGCAGACAACTCTATATACCAGGTAAGAACTAGCGAGCCGACCTGGTTAAAGAAACATGAGCCAACCATATGCATCTTAAATCAGGTAGCTGACTAAATCTGTATAAAAATCAGCATGTAAACCAAATACTGGTTGACTGGGAAAACTTTTGTTTTGCTGATGCATGCATTCACCTTGGAAGACATATTCCCATTCTTTGCCATACAACAGGGAGTGCCCTTTCACACTGGCTCCTAATGTTTACTTTTCTTGTTGTTAACTCTCCTGCCCCTTGACTGGACTGATGCTTTGGGTCTATCCAAAATCTGATGTCCTAAGGAACAGGCAATCATTTTTCATATACAGTCATTATTGCTCGTTCCATCTGCCCTATTGACAGTAAACAGGTTTGTATCAACAAATGCACTGGAGAAGACAGTCACATTTCAGTTCTTGTTCAGTGGCAGACATCACCCAAAGATGTGTCTAGGGGACATGTGCTCTAAGGGAATGAACCACATATGAAACTTTGGGTAGTGCAACCAGAATGACAAAACCAGGTCTGCATTTATTGTGTCTGAATACTTAAAAACCTGGAACTGGAGTCCCCAACATGCTGCCCATGGGTGGCATGGTGCCCACCGACACCTTTTCTGGCGCCCGCCAAGTGTTTCTAGAAAGTGAGTGAGGCCAGGTAGGGCTTTTGAACCAAAAGGCTTCTGACTGACTACTGGAGATCTGATTGGCTATGCTGGTTTTTATTAAATGTTGATTTGGCAGCAGCTGCCACCACAGCACAAAACTTTACATCGTGCTACTGAAGTTAAGCTGTGGCAATCGTTTGGTGGCTGGCTCCACCTCCTGAGGCAGCCCTTCGTTGCTGCGCCCACCATACCGTGTCAGAACTCCAAATGTGCCCAGTGCCCACAGACTTTAAAAGGCTGGGGACCTGCCTGGACCTGGATAGCCCCGGCAAGCCTGATCTCATCAGATCTCGGCAGCTAAGCAGGGCCGACCCCGGCAAGTACTTGGAAGGGCAACCTCCAAGGAATACCAGGGCCAGGAAGCCAGAAGCAAGTAATATAAGCCATCTCTCTGAAACGTCCTAGCCCTACTAGTAGTCGCCAAAAGTCACCATGACTTCCAGGCTCACAAGCACATACACATACATACCAAATACTCACACACAAAAGACTAATTTAAAGGTTGGGGACCCCTGACCTAGAACACTGAAAATGCACACAACTGGTACTCACAGTTCCAATATCATCTTCATAGCTTGTAACCTCCTTATAATAAGGTGACCCAGAAAGAACTCGCCATGCCGACAGTCCACAACTGGCTGCTTTCGACACTCCCGCCCCATCGTTATCTGTTTCACAGCCACCTATAATCAGAAGACTGTCACAACAAGATTACAAAAGGTTAGTTTGACAGCTGACTTATCAAATGTGCTTCCCAGCAGTGAGCAATTCTCATTTTTAGAAGAAACGCCGAACTTTCCAGCTGTGGCGATTTGACAAGCACCAAATTATGTATATTGCACTTAATAATTGTCACTTAGATATAACAAATCCTATTACACATTTGCTATTAAAGATGCCAAAGTGTTCCTGAGAAATGGGGGGGGGGCCAGCCACAGGTTGGAATCATGAAGTTCTTATTTTTAAGCATCTAGTGCACATAGCAGACTATTTTTCAAACTAACTAATTACCTTTTTTTCAGAATTAGCAAAAAAGGAGCAAAAGAATTTACTGAACAGGATTATCAGGAAAAAGCATAAAAGAAAGGCTGATTTCTCACCTTCTAGTTTCAGCTGGCAAGATATTGCCATCTAATGGCTTAAATGTGTATGAAGGAGCTTCCTTTAACAAAACCACCAGTTCTTTGGAAGAAAAAAATCCCACCCCAGTTGTTTTTTTCTTAGCAGAATTCACAGCAAAGTGCTTCTATATCTTTTGTCTTCTCAGTACCCTTCAGCTGCACATTGGTCAACAATATCTACAAAGTACAGCCACTGACCACTGAGTTTTCTTTCTGTGTACAAAAATACTGCAACAGAGGCATGAAACTGTACCAGAAAAAAGTGTTGTTGTGATACTTCTTGTTGCAAGCAATGTAACATATGGTTTGTTTGTTTAAAAAAAAACATTTTCCAAAGGAAAACTGATCCAGGGAACCACTACATTGAAGTGTTATTTATTTAGTTATTACTTCTTACTGTTTTTGCAACCAGAATTGAAATGTTACATAGCTGTCAACTGACTGGCCTTCACAACGGTACATTTACCTCACCCCAGACTGATATGGACTAAGGGTAGAAAAATAAACTCTGAATACCCACAATGCTAGTAATGTAATGACAATTTTTCCCTTTCACAGTTCACGTTGGTTTTCTAACACTCTGCATTCAAAGTTTCAGTATTCTAAAAACTCCACTTCTGTTGCTGCAAGAATGGATTTCCTTGGTGACACTGTGAAATTAGGTGGATACGCAATAAAGGGTTTTGGTAGGTTTTGGACACTTTTAAAACCAGTTTTCCTAGAATTACTCATTACATTTAAAACAACAACGACAGTGTAGCACTTTATTAGGACCAAACCATCACACACAGTGAAAAAAATTTCAACTTTCAGTTTGGTGTAGTGGTGCGCGGACTCTAATCTGGGAGAACCGGGTTTGATTCCCCACTCCTCCACGTGCACCTGGCTGGATGACCTTGGGCAAGCCGTAGTTCTGATAAGAGCTGTTCTTGAAAAAGAGCAGTTTCTGCCAGAGCTCTCTCAGCCCCACCTACCTCACAGGGTGTCTGTTGTGGGGAGAGGAAGGGAAACGAGTTTGTAAGCCGCTCTGAGACTCCTTTGGGTAGTGAAGGGCGGGGTATAAATCCAATCTCTTCTTCTTCTTCTCCCTCTATAAACCTACCCAACCACTATGGTCATCTTCAGAGTGCGTTGGATGCCCCTACTTTCTGAGACCAGGCAGGTGGCAACCTGAGAGACGGCCTTCTCAGTCATGCCTCCAACACATTGGAACTCACTCCCCGAGTCCCCCAGGGAAATCTGTCTGTCCCCCACCAGCGGGTGACGTTTTTGCTTTGTTTGGCATAGCCTCAACAACTGTTACTGTCCCTCCTCCCCAGTTTATTTTTTTATTGCATTCTTTTATATACATTTTTATTTTAAACACTGTCTTAATGAGGAAATGTTTAGCTGCTCACTGCCTTAAGCATAAAAGCATTAAAATGTTTTAAATAAATATTTCCCCAAACTGAGAAGATAATATTCAGAACACCACACACAAAAAGTAGAGGATGCTGCTTTTGAAAGAGGCATTCAAAGAAGTATTTTTCCTCAAGATGGAAATTCTGCTCTGTGCCAGAGCTACCTGCATGACCTCTGTCACATAGCCCTCAGAAAATCACTGTAAATGGACACTATGGCTTCAACTATTTAAGCAGACTACTACTGATCAAAGCTTAAAAACTATTGCAATAGGAAGAGCACAGTCATATAACAGCCAGCACAAAAATATTCCAGGTGGCGGTACAACTTCTAGTTGCTCCTAATACCCCCCGTTTTTTTAAACACCATCCCTTTCCTTGCAATTTTGGAGTACCCATCTGTGGTGAATAGGAAGTCAAAAACATTGTAGATCTGGAAACGTAGTTTGTTTGTTTCAGTTTGTATTCCACCCTCCCTGCAAGCAGGCTCAGGGCGAATCACAGAACAAATCAAGACATCATAAAATTACAATACATTATTAAATATAAAAACAATTAAAACAGTATAAAACAACATATATTAAAACAGGTCACACTATTCATATGTGAGCCCCAGGGCAGCCCGGTACAATTTCAAGATGGCACCATTTTCTTCTTCTTAATCTGGGCCACAAAAAGATGGTAAACTTCAGCGGGGGGGGGAGTGAGATCTTATCAGACGCCCGCCACCTCAACCAAAGGCCTGGCAGAACAGCTCCGTCTTAGAGGAATGGTAGTAAATCCCACAGTACCCTGATCTCTGATGGGAAGAAGAAGAAGAGGAGATTGGATTTATACCCCGCCCTTCACTTGGAGTCTCAGAGCGGCTTACAAACTCCTTTCCCTTCCCCTCCGCACAACAGACACCCTGTGAGGTAGGTGGGGCTGAGAGAGCTCTGACACAAACGGCTCTTTTTCAAGGACAGCTGTGCCAGAGCTTGTGACTGACTCAAGGTCACATCAGCAGGTGCAAGTGGAGGAGTGGGGAATCAAACCCGGTTCTCCCAGATTAGAGTCCGCACACTTAACCACTACACCAAACTGGCATGTTCCACCAGGCTGGGGCCAGGGCAGAAAAGGCCCTGGCCCTGGTCGAGGCTAAGCAGACATCTCTTGCGCCTGGGACAACCAGCAGATCTTGATCAGCAGAGCGCATATGGGGAGAGGCAGTCCCTCAGGTATGTTAGTGCCAGTCCGTGCAGGGCTTTAAAGGTCAGCACCGGTACCTTGAAACTGATCCGGTACTCAATCGGTAGCCAGTGCAATTGGTGTAGCGCTGGCCAAATGTGTGCCTGCACAGGCAACTGAGAGACAAGGTAATAGATAAAATGTAAATCCTAGTTGAAGGCAAATGCTCCAAAGAGAATCTAAAAGTACGTCCAAGCATGTACTGCTCTAAACTGTACTAAAATCTGCTTTTCACTACGTTTTCTCTCGTCTGGAATCCTTCTGACTTAAGTGGCTGCCCTTCAGCAGCACAACAAAGACAAATGGATTAGATACTTTCAAAGAAAAACCCTGTGTGGAATTGGCTGAGCTATTCTTATAGGCTTCTGGCCAGAGTGGTCAATACATCCAGCTTAGATTACTATCATGCTGCCTTTGAAAAATGTCTGGAAACTTCTCTTGGTTCAAATTGCAGTGCCAGAGACTGGATACAGGTATTGTACACATCTTGAGCTGAAAGTTCTGTACCCATTGCCCATCTTACTCTAGGCACAACTCAAAGCAGTAATTCGTACCCTTGGGCTGGGCTATTTGGGAAGTTTGCTTCCTCCTGTACTATCCAGCCTGCCTAACCTCTTCCCACACCCTGCTTTCCATGTTCTTTCCTGCAGAGGTGATGCACACAGCAACCAGAGACAGGGCATTTTTACCGGTGACACTTCACCTTTGGAATGCCCTCTCCCTCTAGGCTTGTTCGGCACCTACTTTACTGTCTAAAATTTCATCCAAGCTTTCTACTGAGGAGTTCCACCTTTTAAGCTGGTTTTATGGCCTACTACCAGCCTGTTTTATGGATGTTTTTAAGCTCCTCGATCTTTTTTTAGGCCTGGGCTTATTTTTAATATTGATCATTTATGCTGTGATCAGAGCTTTATTATGCTGCTTTAAGCCAATCTCCAAAAAAAGTTGCACATACATTTCCAAAATGAATAAATGTTCTGGCCTGAAGATGTGAGCTGTAAGGTGTGTGTGTGTGTGTCTATAATAAGATGGTCCCTTTAAGAAATAGTCAATGTCAATGGCTAACTTCAGTCTCTTGTATCCTGCAATGCTTCTAGGTCAGCTTACCCCAACAGATTGTTACTGGGTTTTTTCCCCAGGCTACAGACCACTCCAGTTACATAAAGGAAAGAGGAGGGAGGATGATTTGGACTGAACTATCTTTGGACCATCAAACCATCATGCGACTTCCGGTTTTGGCGTTCACCATGGCAGCCGCTTTCTCCTGGTCTCTGGGAGACGACTGCCAGAGCCCGCGGTGAGGATGGGGCGCGATTGTCCACGCCACCCCCGAAGCCTCAGCATGAGGCTCCCAGCCATGGGGCGCTAGAAGGCTCTTCCTCCGGCGACCCTGCCGGCGAAGGGGGGCTTTCTCTATGCCCCAAAGGTCCCACCGCAGAGCGTCCCGAATGGGAACCAGAAATCGCATACCGGAGCAAGCGCTTTGTGGCCGAGCGGATTGAAAATGAAAGTGGATTTATCGTTGAAATGTGAGTTGGAGTTTAAGCGAGAAACACCAAAGATCTAGTCAAAAACCTACCCTCTGAAAGTGAGGGGGGGAGGGCACAACTACAGAGCTGCAAAAAATGCTGACGGAAGCATTGCGACCTCTGCTGGAACAAGTCACGGTATTGCATAGCAAATTCAATGCACAGCAAATGCAATTAACTGAAATAGCAAAAAACCCCAGACAAAACTGAACAAGAAGTAAAAGAAGTGAATGCCAACATTTAAAAACTTAAAAAACAACTGCAGGCGATGGGAAAAAAGAGAATTATGGAGGAGTCTCAACTGTTACAGCTACAAATGGAGAGAGTAAGCTATGTCTTAAGATTTCAAGGTGTTCTGGAAGAAAAGACTGAGAATCTAAAACAGGCTATGTGTGATGTATTAGGCCCCATGGCAGATAT